ACGAGGGACTATACTCATATTCGAGGACTGCACACCCATGCCGGACTATACACACACGTGGGACTATATTCACACTCGAGGACTGCACACCCATGCCGGACTACCCACACACACACACGAGGGATTATACTCATATTCGATGACTGCACACCCATGCCGGACTACCCACACACACACACGAGGGACTATACTCATATTCGAGGACTGCACACCCATGCCGGACTATACACACACACGCACAAACGAGGGACTATGCCCTCACGCGGGTACTATACTCACACACTCTGGGATACATGCTTCTGTGTTCTCCTAATTACCTTGTCTTTTCGGAGTGAATCTTGCACATGCCGTAAAGCATTTAAGTCCTGAAACTATTTATAGATAGTACTACTCAATGACATCACAGAATATGCAAGTTTCCTCCCATTGCTTGAACGTTTAAATACAACTTCATTAAACAGAAATTAATCACTCTGTGACACAATATAATACAGCATGGACAATTAAATACGTGAAAAATTATAATACAGCATGAACAATTAAATACGTGAAAAATTTGATCCAAGATTTAGAAAAACATGGTGTAATCAGAATGCTTAAAACTGCAACAGCTAAGAATTATTCCCTCCAAACTGTTTATGACTAAATTTTTTTTGTATAAAAATGTTCGATTAATCAAAATGTCTACAATTTACTCAGAGCATCTATTTACGCTTCACTCAAAGTAAATTTTTTAAGATAGAAAATCTACAGCTTGTAATAAATTTTTTCTGATTCTGATATATTCCGCAACTGCAATATATGGACTAAATAATACCATATTTCACTGTTCTGGTCGATGTCAAATTTTCTTAATTCAATCGCTTTGTAATCGATATTTTTTGATAAAAAATTTTAATCATCCGAATATTTGTGATTTTCTTATCATAAATATATGACTGGATTTGAGAAAGTATATTATCTATTTCTAATAAAAAGTATAAAAAAAAGCAAAGCAAATAGATTTCTTATAATCACTTGAACTTTTAAACTTTCTAAATCTTCTAATACACGCAAATTAATACCACTTGATTTGGTATTGAATTGCATAGCACAACATTAAATAAAAACCAATTTTTTGTTTGTGAGTTGAATGCATGGCTGTTACCCCATGCAACGTCATGAAAGTTTCAATTTTTCACTTTTTAAGCTATTGTGACAATTAAGCATATTTGATCTATCAGATATTCTATAATTTAATTCAAGTGTTAGAAAACGTTGCTAATAATTAAGAGTATAATTTAATATAACTAGGCACATTTATTTTGCTCCTTCTCTTAAAATTTTGTCATCTTCAAAAGTTACTTCATGATTGGATGGATACGCAGTTTCTCTTCGTTTACACTGCCACTACGCCATTTCTTTCTATCTATAGGTTATATGTTTGTATTCAGTTAAGTACATGCAATATAAATATAGAATAATATAGAGTAAAACAATTTAATTTTTCTGTAAAACACTGGAAGAAAGGACTTGGTTTTAACGCTTAAAAATTCTCCCAATTTAATATGAAAAGTTGGCCTACAATGTAGTAAGAGTATTTCAACAAAAATCAAATTATTAAAATCATTTTGATTTCCGTTAAAGTATTATGAATGAAAGAGCTTTTTATTCAAGTTTGCTTACTGTTGCGTGCCAACATCATCACTCCATTATTTGCACCAGGTCGAAGAATATTTGATACCCTCACAGCTTATCTCATTTTTTCAGCTACAAGTTACTGCTAACATTTACCTAAATACCCTTTATTTAATGTTAAGAATCACTGAAATATTGCTTGTTAATTTTTGATATCAGTAAACTTCATTGAACTTGGACTGTTTTGAAGTGGATCAAAAAATACATTGCTGACAAAAGAATCTCGATGATAATAGAACGAAACAAAATACCTCATTGTATCCGAACGATCGATACTATACATCTTTTGTCCTTGTAGTGGAATGAACAACATGGCAGTCAATTTAGTGAAGGCAAGTTGCGGAAAAAATTTGATTACAGAATTTTATGGAAGGCATTTTTAATCAACAGTTGCATACATAATGAATTATACAATAAAAAAATTTCAAGAAAAACAAAACTTCATAATTTTTTCTAACAAGTAATTGTACATGATAATGGAAGAGCCGGTATCACTTTTTTATTTTCTTAGATTCTTTTTTATCTTCTTTCCCTGTCTTATTTTTCTATCTTTTCTATCCTTTTTACGGCTCCATATTTTATATCTTTTCATTTTTTTTTTCAATTACACATCATCAGTAGCAATTATCACATATACTAATGTGAAAAAAACCAACTTCAATTACATTTATTAGTCATAAGCAGTAGGGACCAGAATTTCAAACAAGGGGGCAAATTAAAAACTCTACAAAAATCACTAACTCAGGAATAATCAAACGGTAGCACAAAATTGCCCGCACACATCACATCCACTGTGATGGAGTAATAAAAAAGTGTTACACTGCGATTCTCTCAAATTAGGAGTTGGCACATCCAGTAACTCCTATCTCAAATTAATCACGAAAGATCGCAGGAACCAATCAATAAAGGAGCTGGCATATCCGCCCAATGACTCCTTTTCTCAATTTAAGTAAATTAAACCGCTATCACCAATTTCAAGCTATATGCGGTCGAACAAATTTTGTACTACCCAATGATTATTGTCCTTGAGTTAGGTCCTACTTTTTCGTACTCGTCTTATTTCTTCAACCCTGTTCCCTACTACACTCACACAAACGCCAATTAATTATCAATCAACATTAGCACTTTTATCATACATATCCTAACCTAATAATAAGATTTCTTTCATCTCTGCAGAACAGAAATGAAAAAATCTTTTACAAACAAGAAACACTGCGATCACAAAATAAAAAAGTCAAAATTCGGGTCCAGTACGCGAAGTCGAGAAGTAAAGAAGTGCTGGAACGTGAGCGTTAATCATGATTGAAGCAGCCGCTCACCTCCAATGATGGAAAAACAATAGTATGGATATTTTTTTCCTTGCACTTCTCTATTTTCTTGCAATATTGGGAGGGACTTGGTGTTTTGGTATCCAAACATGTCTGCATTTATGTACGCCTTCAATAAGAAGATAATGACAAAGAGTAGATTATGTGATACACATGTATGTATCACAACTGTCAGATTTTATAATACCCTAATGAGCGCATCATTTTTTTATAATTTGCGTTTTTCTGTGAATAAGGATAGATGCGCGCATTATCGTTTTTCGGTTTCTTTTGTACTTACAAAAAGAATAATTACGCACAAATGCAATCATTTCAGTGGACAAAAAATGTACAGATAACAACGAAGAGAATAGCTAAAGCATAGAAGGGAATAGTTTTAGCTGCAATCTACTCTGGCTTACATTCTTTCCAGTTTTTCTAGCAAGTGCCGTGGGCGATTAGCATTTTCTTCTTCATATCTATAGTAAGCGAACAGAAAATCTTCATTTGAAATATTATCAGTGCACAGAAAATGATGTCTTATAAAATTAGTGAGTAAAAATTATTATATTATTCTATCTTTTCTTTTCCAGTTTAATCTAAACTTTATGATGTTGTTAAAGTCACTGACTAAACACTTAAGCAAAATTGTAAATTACAATGTTCATGTATTTAGTTCCTGTTCAGTACATGAACTGAATGAGTAGTGTTTGTTAAAAATTGTTTTAAAGCAATTTTAGTTTAAGCACGGATAAAATAAGACTTTTTTTCCAACCCAAAAAGTATCAGTTGCTTTGTTTACTTCACTGATATACAAAGGAGAGCCAAGAGTTAAATTAGACTAATTAACACCCAATTTTATCGCAAAATGTATTTTGTAAACACTCAATACAACGAATCCTTCATTATTTTCATCTTGCTAACTTAAAACATAACATGTCAGTTAAATTTAGTAGATCTTTATATATATATATTTAGTAAATTTTTTAGTATAAATTACATATGAACAAAGCTATCACCCCTAGAAGCACCAAATAATTGTTCATAAAGGTTCCATGAGCCCTGCCTTTCCGAAAAACGTGTCACCAAATATGTTCCAATTTTCATAATGATTATGTTGAACGTATAACAAATTTGCAAACCACACGCAAATACTTTCCTTAGTATTATATTCCTTTTACTTGGAAGGTTTTGCAATTGTAAGGTATTTGCTCTTTTAAAAATTCGAAATATATTCATCGGATAACTTTTCATACAATGTCGTATTTTTCAACAAAGAAAGTGACGTACTAGTCATACATGTATGTGTTAGTCTGTATGTACGCGCTCTCTTGTCAAGTTCTTTTCCAGTTGCATGTAATAAACAAACATGACTTAGCTTTATTCATAAACAGTAATTAGAACAAAATACTCTGCATAGCAAAGCATCGTAATATTCTTAGTAATAGATATTTAAGAACCAAAAATACAAGGAATCACAAGTTTGTTAGTAAAATCAGCACACGAATTGAAAGTGAAAATTGCTTTACATTTAGTCTCATAGCACACAGTTTATGAATAAATGTGATGTTGTTACTTGATAATTAAAGAGCAGGATTTGAACCACATTAAACTGCATATCTTTGTTAGTATGCAAACATTCATAGACATCATATATAGTCCGGCTCTACATCTATTTACTTTTGAATGAATATTTTGTGATCAACTGCTATTTATGTTCATCTGATTCCCACGTACAATTGCTTGGAAGTAATGTATATTTTAAACAGAATATATTTTATAAAAAAGTACAAAAAATTTCTTTTATTTCAAAATATTTTTTGGTCTGAAATATTAATATTTTTGGTCTGAAATATTAGTATCAGTTTTTTTTCCAGCTTTCTTAAAAAATGTTATATTCTAAAATAAAATGTACTCAAGCAACTAGCTGAAAAATATTCTATTTATAAAACCCAAGAAAACCAGGCCTATCCCTAGGAGAATGAGGATAATTTTGCCAATAATCAAATTTGAAGATAGCAACTTTCGACAGTCTTGTTCTAATATATGTTTTCTCCTTCCACTAGTGAATTTTTATCTTCCCTAGTAATATGATTCAAAGCACTCAGGTAGGAAGGATTCATGACAGCTTGAAAACACTTCCACAATTTTTTTTAGTGTGTTAATGCAAGAATCAGAAATGTATTATTCCATTAAGAATAGCAGTAATTTCTATTTGCTTCTTTCTCTGCCGTTCCTACAAAATGCTTTAATTTTTAAAATCTGATACCAAATCTGAGATGAGCAACCGATGGAAGTGTCAACTTGTATGGCTATGTACTACATGACAACCGCAGATTAGAACGAACCATTTCTAACTGCTCATCATATCAAGATAATATTTCATCATCGCAACATTCAGAACTTCTATAGAAATATGCGAAAATCAATTGATGTAAAGTAATGTAATTCATACCAAGTTATGCTTAGCATAGATCAAATACAAAATCAGATAGTATGCATAAATATTAATGTATATCATAAAAAACGAAACTATGTGATTCTCCGCCTATAAGTCTACAATTTCCGACCTTTTCAAGATATTATAAAGATATTGGACAACACACTTAGTTGAAAACGATGCAATACTAATACAATAATTGAAAATTCTGGTTTATTAATCATTTTTCAGTCAGTATATTTGCTTGATTGTAGTTGAGAATTTATGATCAGTTACATAGCTGAATGCAATTCGGTTTTTTGTGATCAAAACGAGAATGCTGAAATTGCATCGCTTTATATGATGATTACCTTTTTCAAGATTAAACCAAAATAATACGCACAGAACATATGTTAAAATTCTGTGCAGTTTTCACTAAAAAATACAGACTGGCAGTTCACACAGAAAATGTTATCATTGACAGATATGACTATAGACTACAACTACGGAAATATGACAAAATCTCAAAGAGAGATTTGAATTATAATAAAGATTATAATTTGATCTCACAAAAAGGTTAAATAAAAATAAAAAGACGGGCATTATAACGGTTTGAAGAACGAACCGCAGATGCCAATTAGATAGACTGAAAGTCAAGAAGGTAGAGAAATATATGGAGAAAAGCTGATATACACATTTAAATGGAGAGATTTGTATGCTAAAAAGATTATCACGAACAGAAAAACTGGAAAATCTAAAAAAAGAAATTAAGGTATTTAAAGTCCCTTTATCATAAACCGATCTCACCATTAAGCATGAAGCAAGAAAATATGTTAACTAAATATTTACTTGTAAAAATGTGAGACTGACGTAACCAAATAGGAAGTGCAATAGTGATTGCAGACAAAAAGAAGATGCACGATCATAAATCGAAAATACCAGTATAAAGATCCCAACACATCTACTAAAATACAATATCCCAAGATAGTAAAAGTAATTGAATGAAATGCAAACATGAATAAGTCACAAGTAATTCCAGAATCGACTATCTAGAATTGGGAGTTAATAGGCTATGAAATGCGATTTCATAATAAGGATGGACTTTGGGTCTAGGTCTCTCGTGCACGTTGTTTAAATATGAATTAGATACCTCATCATACTGTGCGGATTTTTGAGGCCCACACAAACTATCAACCGAATCTCTAGAAGTGCTATCAAGAACTTCATCATCATCGTCATAGCATAAATCCTCAACAGAAACTGTTGAAGTTGTGTCATTAGTTGAAGAGAAATATACTTCAGAATCAATTTTTTTTGAACTATCAGATTCAGAAAATGAATAAGCTCCATCTGATATAGCACTGTAACCAACGCAGCAATCAGAGTTTGATTCTGAGTTTGAGTCATCATATTCCTTAATACCGGACACGTGATTTAAAGACCCCCGTGAATAAGCCAGCGAATGACATTTTTTAGTATGGCTCAAATTGCTTGCAACAGAGGTAAAAATATGTGAACTGTCACGCTGAATGAATGTTTTTTTACAGCTTAGTTGTGAGGACATTTTACAGTTCAAATTAAAGTTAGATTTGCTGTTTTTAGATTTACTGTGCCCAGATAATTTATTTTGTTTAACAATTTTCGTAACATGAGATTTTTTAGAATTTGAGAATAGGGCATGTGCAACGCCCGTACTATTTGTATGTAAGCGGTTCCTTTTTGATGCGTTTACTATATTATAATATTCAGTATCTACAAAAGTTGGCAGAGGTGGCACTGCAGATGATAATACAGTTGTAAATGAAGGAGCTGTTACAGTACACTCCAGCTTTTGCTCATCCCTAATAACATGATGGTGAACGTTCACTTTTGAAGACAATTTTTCAGAAGCACCAGCGAACTTCATTGTTTCAGATCCTAAAAATGAGTAGTGCTTCTCGTTTAATATACAAGCAGATCATCCAGTTCCAAAATAATGAAGTATTAGCACACAGTGTATGCATAAAAAATCCATAAGTGGTGCAGTTTACCAATAATATGTCGCCTTTCTGGCAAAGATATGAGTTCACGAGACTGTTGCCCACAACGATCAAGCCTCGAATTTGTTGACCGCAATTTATAACTGTTGCCGGATTTTTTCGGCTCATCATACTTTATAAGTGAAGGAATTTCAGCACTTGAATTTCTGAAATCATTACCACAACCCCCGCAAATGCTGATATTAAATTAAATTTTAATTACTCAAAAAAAAAAAAAAATCCACTATGAGTAATTAATCGAAGTCGTTTTTTTCATCCAATTTTCTCACTTGATGCAAAACAGTGAGAAAAAATAGATCTCTGTTACAACACATATAACTGCAAAAAGTACACATACTGCTCACAAGTTATGCATTCGCAGCGACAGTTGTTATCGCCGAAAAAATTATCGCCATAATATGCAGTGATTTCCTCACCTTCGGAAATATCACGCAACACATGAAATTATGAGCAGTTCACAAATTATTAATAAATATTTCACATAAGTTTTACTATCGATTATTGAAAAAATATACCTGAACAACAGCAGTTTGATTATTTGGCACAAATTTACAATTTGGATGACAATCGTGATTAATATAAGCTGCTGGACCAAGCCATAATTGAGCTCGTCGTTTTCTAAAATTATGAAACAATTAAAAATATAAAGCCACAATACGAAAATGAAAATTATGAAACAATTAAAAATATAAAACCAGAATACGATAACTATACCTTGTACTATACATCACAGAAAAATCATTGACATCTTTTCGCAACAACACAGATTCTTCTTCGTGACTGAGATTACCAATTACACCCACTAAACTATTGATCACGTCACCCTTTTGCCTGTAATTGTTGGTCCATATTTCACGTTAACAAACAAACAAAAAATAAAGACAATGTAATAAATGGAATTGAGACAATTGGCACTGAAAGATTCCAAACGACTGCAAATGATAATTTTAAAAAAGTAAGCATTATCCAGTAAAAAACCATATAATAGAAAAACATGTCAAAACGAGCTGCAAAATTAAAGACAATCTATCACTAACCAAGACTTTGTGGCAACTAATTTTCCACCTAGGCAATTTTCCGTTCTATAACGACGGCATGCTCGAACTGTAAAACCCGCATCTACTTTGTACATTTGCAAAAATCGTAAGAGCTGAAAAATACAGAAAGTGGTATATCTGAGCGACATGCGGTGAAAATGCATTTGGAAAAAGGAAAAAAAAAACGACAACAGTTTGCTTATCAAAGAGCGATAAATTAAGTGAATTTTGGATATATTTAAAATCCTACATGATCTCGAAAAGCGAGCTGTTGCTTCAATGTTCGCCGTTGCAAAAAATTGCTCACTCTGCCCACGTGAAAAATGTTCCTGAGTGCCACGCATAGATCTTGATTATCCATGTAAGTGGTTAATATTTCTCTCAATTGAAATAGTTCATCGTGCTGTGGAGGATGGTAACTGTTAATAAAAATAATTATTATCAAAAGTAATGACGAAAAACAAACAATGAAATGGAATTACAAATTTATTGCTTTCTCGAGTGGTCATACATTATCAAATCAGATACGCAGAAAGAATTTTAAAATACAAAAGCAGTGTTGCATCGCTGTAAGCATTCATATACTTACTGAAGATTCATTTTGTGCGTGCAAAAACCAAGCACAGGATCCACAACGATGCTGGTTGCCATGTCATCATTGTCACACAATTCCCGTGCAGTCATACTATGACGCCCAGACGTACGGTCTGGTAGTCGTAACAACTCTGAATCCAATTCCATGTTCAATATCATCAGATACAGAAACAAGGACAGAACGAGCATTCCACCATCCCAAAGCAGTGCCTACATCTGCAACTGTGATCTCGAACATCACAAACGCTGATAAGGTTTTTTATTTAAGACGTTCTAAGAAGCCTTTTCTCTCTAGTAGCTTAATAGTATATTCGTATTTATAATAGCTTCATTAATAGTGTAATACTAGGTAAGAAAGTTGCTTTACCTCATACCTGTGACAAACTGAGTGCAATTGACCAAATAAAGTTGCTTAACAGGAATGTAATTTTAAAAATGTGCCATAATTTTGTTTTTTCATTAAAAACTATCTCTTCATTTCTATTAATACCGCTAAGCAGGCTTTTAAAGACAGAATGCATAAATGGTGCCACGAATAAAATTATTAGGAAGGAAGTAATCTTGGGTAACTTGGGATTTCTTTTCATTTCTGTAAAAATTGTCGTGTCAGAGCTAAAATTGAAAAATGACATACTGTTTTAGCAGCGATGGTTTTTTGCAGAAAAGTTACTGCGTTTTAATAAAGAAAGAACTCAAAATGATACTCGAATTCTGATTTATGCATGATATTGAATTTTGAATATATTGACATTGTGCATTCAGCCGTTTGTAAATTTATTATTTTCAAATGAAACACTTGGATTCGTAGCAAAAATGAAGTTGTTGCTTATATTCATTTAAAATATTGTTTCTCTTCGGAATTCGATCATTGCAAACAAATATGTGGCATTCTTTCGACAAGAAAGATAAAATTGGGTCATTTTTTGCTTCTAAAAAGCATATGCACATTTTTTTATCGTTCTCATAGTAAGAAAAAGTTACACTGTTTTTTCTCACTTTTCTTTCGTTAGTTTTATAAAGTAATGCATTTTTATGTAAAAATATGCATAGACTTTTTTGTTTCACAGTGTACATCTCAGATGTTTCATTCTCCATGTTAAGCCGAAGAAGAATGAATCACAAAATTATTTTTATTGCACAGTTATCATTCTTTTGCCTTCTTAATATTCAATCTTCACAACCTACTCTATGCATTCCAACCGATTCAAATAGCATATCAGTGATTATATCACATTTCTCTGCTACTTATTTACAGTCAACTAATGTTTTACATCACTTTGCTTTATAAAATGCCACTTCTAGATTTAACCATTCATACTGTTATATATTAGAAATGCTTTAAATTTGAAAGAAAATAATGAAATAATTCTCATTTTATATCATTCAAACCTTTAACAGATATAAAAGGAGTGCAAAGATCGTTCATGAGATTAATTCTGGTAACATTATATATTTGTATTAGTGGTATGTATACTACGTGCACCATTTCACCTTATCACTCTCATTATTGGCTTTCTTTCAAAATTAATTTGCACTGCACATTATCATTAATGTTTAGAGCATATTTCCATGCAAGTATGATGATGACAACAGAAAGAATCACTAACAAACCGGTTATTAGGACATGGAATATGCTGACAAACCTTTTGCTGCTGATGCTACCGTAAATGCTGTAAATTTTGCAATGCGATGATTATTGCTACGCACAGCAATCATAAGAACTTATCTATCACTTCGCTCAACAATCAACCCATTTTCATTCATTGCCATGTCAAGATACATTGTTCCGCGACTTGGTAACTGTGACCCATGTCCAGTTTCTGTCTCTACATCTCACTTGTTATATTTCTTCTCTTCGCAGTCCATACATATTTTTGTTCAAACTTCGCAATTATCATTTCTATCGATTTGTCTCTAAAGAATTTTCTCATAATTCAGCGTCTTTCAGTTGCAGAAGGTAAAAGGCTGTGGTAATGGCTGATTCAGCTCTTCTAATTGTTTGTCTTTCTTTTTTGATATACTCTAACTGATTAAGTTTCACATTTTTTTCTTTCAAATTTGTGTACATTCAATTGAATATAATAATTACATCATAATACAAGGGTAAATAACACGTGGAAACAATTACGTAATACAAACAATTAATTTATCAATTTGAAAAGTGTAAGAAAGCAGTACCCTTATTTGAATTATTTATCGTAATGCCGTAATAAATGACGATGACACTATAACCGCTTGCACTTTGTGTGACAGTGTATACTCAGAATTGTTGCAATACCTTTTTTTTTCTACGTCAGCAGTATGTGACCATTTCTTACATTCTTTTCATCAAAAAATATTTGAAATTAATTATTCACACATAGTTTTATTATTTTGGCAATTTTTATTGTATTGTGTTTCATTGTCGCTCACACTTAAGCTAAAGTATGTCAGCGGATCCGAGCATCGAGAATAATACATTGGGAGATATAAATTGCA